CGATTGTATAAACCTTTTGATTGTATGCTTGTTATCAAGGCTCTCAAGACCTGCTACATTGGTTGGGTTTTCTTTCTGTTAAATGTATTTATTTTATAGCAATAGTGTATCTGTTGTGTAAAATATTTAGATGCTATGTAAATAATAAAAGTATTAACAAATTAGTCAAAATTAATTTTTGACTAAGCCAGTAAACATCATGGATGGATGGCTAGATGGAGGCTTGATAAGTACTTTTGTCAAGGAAGGATGGGTAGATGAACAGAATGTTAGCTACAATTTAGGATAGATAGATAGATAGATAGATAGATAGAATATATGTTTATTTGATATTGATTTTTTATTATTATTATTATTTATGAGCTTGAATTCATAAGGGTTGGCAAACCAAACCAAGGGCAATTTATTGGGATTGTAGGTGGGAGGAATTGAAAATGCCCAACCTTAAATCTGTGTGCCACTTATCATAAATCAACACGAGGGAACAATAGTTCTCTGAGTTTCAAGCTGAGCTGAGTCTTTTAGGTGAATGCACCCAACAGAGTACTGCACAATCTATAGAAAACATTTCAAGGCTTAGAAACAGGATGCCAGGTTACTGAAAAGGTCAGATTCCAATTTCAATCCAAGAAATTAAATGGTTATAAGAGAAAATTATTCACTAAAAAGATATACATTTACAGAACATTTCGCCATTGCCTTAAAATGTTTACATATACAAACAGTAACACCTCATATTATATTTTTGGTTTCATAGTTCAACATTGTTTAATAATTGTTGGCGTAAAATAACACCTGTTTTACCTTATATATGCACTATATGGTCAAAGGTAAGAGGGCACCTGACCATTGCACCTACATAGTCCATTGCAAAGCTATGACTATTAATATGGAGTAGGTCTGCATAGCTGTCACATAAGGCAAATGTTTTCGTATGGTCCGAATACATTGGCATGAGCAAGGAGTATGCCAACTGGGCTCAAGCACACCTTATTGCAGGAATGACTTGTCCACCCTGGCTGTCTTGTTGAAGATAAAGCATATGAAATTTGTCTGTAAGTATAATTTAGCTGGCAATTTACAAGTTATTCATTGAACACTTATTTGTAAATTGAGTTAGAAAAATGCTATGTAGTCTTATGTCCAACTGTATGTCAGTTAAAAGTGAGGATTAATAAAATTAAATAATAAATCTTTTAAATACTTTTTCAGACACACTCATATTTTATAACGTGTAATTTTCCTTTTCTATAAGTGATACATACATGTTGTGTTATGATTTTGAGCTTGTGGTTGAAATAAAAACTCTGTTATTTTGTGGGGTTTTTTTTTTACAAATTACTAGATTTCCTTCCCAAAAAAACAAATGGATGTATATTTTCTGCAGTTTGTTTTTTGATGGGGGCATATGAAAAAACAGCTTGCATAAGCTGCATACCTGCTGTCTACAGTCTTTGAAAGCTGTCTCGCTTTCCCCAGCACAGACTGAAATATTCCAATCAGAGACTGACAGGCTCCAGACACATTGAGCACTTCAGTAACCTGAAGTACTTTATGGTCCCTTTAAAACCGAATGTAATACTGCATTTGTCCGTGTATATGACTATGTTTTTTTCTAAAAAAGTTTAGTTTAAAATTGTGGGTCGTCTTATACACAGAATGTCACTGCAGGGGTTAAAAAATACACTTGTGCGCAGGTACTCAGTTAAGATGGCGACTGCTGCATTTCAGTGTGCCACGGCCCACACAAACCTGGCCGCCCTCCCACCGATCCACTTCTGAATGCTGTGGCAAGGAGGAAGAGGTCCCTATAATTGTGGGAGATGCAGCAGATATCAGCATTTATCACCAATGGAGCTCCAGCGACATGCCACACCATAAAAGGAGCAGCCATATTAAGGTTTGCTCCACCTCAGGTAGGTCTGGCTTTATGATTTATATTTATGGGGGAATAAATGGGGATCAGTGAGCAGAGGGAATACTACTTTGATGTCCCAGTATGCCCTCACACCACCTGCTGTATTGTGGGAGCTGTAGTCTCCCAGCATGCCCGATAGAGCCATTAACTTCACACAGAGTACCGTAGCACAGGGGAGGAATGAGAATCAGAAGTTTGTTGTTCTACTCAGAATTCACCTCTAAAATATCAAAGTTGTTCTATTTGATATTTAAAATATTTATTTCTTAATTTTGGGCTCAAAAAACAGTAGTCGTCCTATACACGGGGGCATCTAATACACAGAAATGTATTAAAATACGGTAACTGCTTTTAACTTTTTATAGTGCTTGTACTCTCATATTTTCTTTTAATCCAGAGAGTTCCTTCATCTATAGTTTGAAAAATTAAAATGTTTTCTTACTGTAACATTTTTATGTCTTTGTGTGAGTGTTTATTCTTATGTGTGTGCTTATGTGGGTGTACGTGTGTTTGTGCATGTGTTCGTGTGTGAGTACATGTTTGTATGTACACGTTTGTTTGACTTGCTAGTACATTTTCCTATAAATTCCTGCATATTTTTTTTTTCCTTTCCTTCTCCACCTATTTTCTTATAAGTTGTAGAATAAAATTATAAATTGTAGGCGAGAAATTAATTATTGGCCATGGGTTGTAACTGTAGCCTGATATTTTTGCTCTTGTGTTGCACAATCTGTCATTGTTACATGACAGCTCAGTCATGCTAATTATATCACAGGAGTGGCTCAGTGCGTGACTACAGTTATACTTCCTTTATGGTTTAGTCTTCACTGTGCTTACCACCTATAAAGCGATATAAAGCCAATATTATACAGTTTGATCAATATCACTGGGCCACTTGGTATCAATTACCATTTGTTCAAGTAATAAATTACCACTATATTATGCAAAGCTGTACAATGGATGGATAAAACTTCAAAATATATAAAAATAAAATTGGGCAATTTGGGACATGCCATAATGGTTGTGATCAAATAAACTTTCAGAGAAAGTAAGGTATAGTTACCTTAAATGGTAAAGTGCAAAGTATGAAGAGCAGACTATAGATTGCTATGTATATATTTATTAATAAGAGATGAAGTAACCCTTGATACAGTTAAAGAGAGTTTTGTTGGTAAAACCATGATTTTAAATTAAAATGTATTACATCATAAAGGTTTGAGAGAGCCAGGGTAATAAGAAGCCAAAGAGTGACGTCTAAAAAGAATGATAGTATGAAAGATAAACATAACAGCAGCATTTCTTATTTACTTTATTGGTGATATAGGTATGAAGGGTGCAGGATTTGAAGGGTTAATGTATGTAAGGAATACTACCAAGGGCAGAGTCAAATTGACTCGTTGTGTAGCACCATTCAGGGTTGCATCATTGGCCTGAAGGAAGACTGAAAGAATACTGTTATAAAGTATTAAATAAAATGTTATTAAATGGTTACTCCAACCATTATAGCCAGTATAGCCCGCTATAGTGGTTATTATAGTAGGTGTATCGTTGTGCTGCTCTCTGATAATGAGTCAGCCATTTTAAAATAGTTTGCCCTCTTACCTGGCTCCCTGTTGGGCACTGAGTCTCATCTTGACATGCTTAGTTGTTCAGCGTTTTAGTAGCATCTCCAGCCAGCAACAAGCGGGAGACGACACTGCATAAAAAGCATGACACACACACTAATACATTATATTACCTAGTCGTGACAACACAGATTTGATTGCTGTGATGGGAGAATTCTGTCTCAACTGTCCCTATAAACCAGCTTCTAGTGCTTATAAAATATTTTCTAGGCAAAACTGAAAGATCAAATTTATCCCTCAATGAGGTGTGGTTTCCTCATCGACCACCCGCCAGGTGACATTTCAGTCTCAGTCTGCAAGGTGATTGTGGGACTACAGGCTGTGGTACTGACATGGAAGGAAAGAAGATAGAAGGGTCTCTGGTAATATCAGTCTTCTTCTTGGCCCACTGTCTGATATTAAGCTGACAACATTTCTGTGTCTTCTTAAAAGGTTACTTCAAGCACCATGACCACTTCAGTGATTTGAAGTGGTCTTTGGAGTCTGTATGTGCAGTTTTTCACTAAGAAACACTGCACATAAGGAGTTCAACCCATTCAGTGCTGGAAATGTAATACCTCCTCTGGCAGCATCATTGGGGAGTCATTAGCCAGTTCGGTACAAGAGTTGATGGTTTGCTTTTTTTGCGTGGTTGTTGTTTCTAAAATACCTGTATCTACAGGTTTATTATATGGAACAGAACATGATGCTTCATTGGGAGAGGGTTTAAGTACACGAGATTAGGTGGGCAGAGCAACAAGTCAGGTGGCAAAGTCAAATTCCATAGGTATAGTCTACTGCCCCACCATGTTTAAACTTCACTAGCTGCCACTGCAAATAAGTAGTCCAGCTTAAGAAAAATTGCCACCTGAATTGTCGATTAAATGGTATCTTGGCTTAGCTCGCCATCTTGCATATCAGATGGACTTCTGCAGACAAAAACAAGTAGGTAAATCAGTGTGATTTGTCTCAGAGACAGTGTTGACTACTTGCTAACCAGTTAACCTCAGTATGGCCAAGGGTCGAACAACACTTAGGGAGGTTGTGGATTTGTACCAGAGGCCCAGGATTGCACTGTGTACCAACGGCAAATTCAGAAGTGCATATCTGGGTCCCAATTGGGTCAAGACATAGACTCTGCAAGTCGCTGGACATTTGTGTGATAAGGAACCTTTCTAGAACATGTATAGGAACAACAAAAACATATATGGAAACAGGCTGTATATTCCAAAAGAGAACATAAAACAAAGATAGTGTAATACAGTTATGAGTAATATATATGTGCTGATGATCAATGCACTCACAGGATAGAGATGTAATGCGCTTAAAGGGTGCCTCCCCGGATGGTGATGGGGGCAATTAACTCACACCTCGGTCCGTGTATGCTCCTTTAAAGGCAAGGCTTCAGATAGATGGTAAATAAACGTGGCTTTATTTTGAATAAAAGGTGAACAAGCACCAATAAAATAAAATACAGTGTATGGTCCTACGCGTTTCATCCAAATAACTCTTCCTCAGGGACCTAAAATCAATATAATTAACAATAGCATACACAATTAAGTAGCCTAACCATTCCCACCCCCAAGTCCTCTTAACCCCTTAAGGACACATGACGTGTGTGACATGTCATGATTCCCTTTTATTCCAGAAATTTGGTCCTTAAGGGGTTAAATAAGGCTAGTCCCTAAGTTCATTGGTGGTTCCGTGGGTGTGTGTCTTCCTTTGTGATCCAATTAGTTGTATCACCTGTGGGTCTTTAATCTTCCTCCTTCTCAGCTGGTGCACGAACGGCTGTTGGAGACCGGAACTGAAAGTGCGTTCCACTAAACACTTCCGTGCGTTCCAATCGTGGTTTACTGTATAGTATATGAACCAATATGGCCATGTGTTCCACTAGCAGGTGTACTAACGTGATGTACGACATCTGGTGGTAATTGGGAGATATAAATTGTCTAGAACCTTGGATTGTAAATGGAGATCCCACTATGAATCTGCTAAAGAGAATTATGATTACTCTCACGTAATAAAATGTAATTGCAATATATTATAACATCAGTAATATGCAAAATGACAGTGGAGCATCCCTCCCATTATTATATATGACTTTGTTTACTATGTGGAGTAGTCAATTTATTTAAAGTGGCCTGTGCTAGGTACACTTTAATGTGATATTGTGACAAAATATTGTCTCTATGATGAATAGATTGTTAATAGAACATTGCACATATCTCGGCATGATAATATACAAAACATGTAATATCAATTGACCAGTGCTGAATGTGCTTTAATGTGTGATTTTTTTAATGTGATTATTCTTAATTATTTTTATGTTCCCAAAATACAATCAATAACAAAATGGTGAATCTATATAACCACACATACCTATCTTAGCAATAAATGTATATCTCAATTGACTAGTTCTAGGCTGAACGTAAGATAGAATGAATCACCTCAAATTCAAATGTATTAGGAGATACATGTATACAAAATATCACACAGAAAGGAGAATATCACAACAAATATGGGCCTATGTACTTATCATAGATATTGTAAAAAAATTTAAATCTTAACAAAAATTGATGATAATGAAAATCATAAAAAATCATAAAACACAAACCAAGTCTATGTCCACATTCAGTCCTTTTGGTTCTAGGGTTTGATGCTTGTGAATCCAAAATGTTTCACGTTGGGCAAGTTTTTTAACCCTATCACCACCCCTCCAATGCGGCAGTACCCTTTCAATGCCGACATTTAAAATCCTTAAAAGAAAATAGGGGGCAGGAGTTACAATGAACTGGGACTGATGGTGCCATAAGACATTTTTTAATTTTGCCTATATGTTCCAAAATCCTAACCTTGAGAACCTTTTTTGTGCAACCTACATATTGTTTGCCACACGGACACTGCAGCAAATAAACCACAAAGTCCATGTGGTATCCTATGTCAGATTTAATTTGAAATGTATCGCCTATTACGAAACTAGAAAAATGGTTCGTTTTTTTTCAGAAGGATAGTGGAGATTTCTTTGCAAGAATTGCATCCTCTAAACATACAGGTATTGTCCCTAATAGCATGGGTGTTGGTTTTTATAACATAACTGGGGGCTAACATATTTTTTAAATTACGATTATTTTTTGTAAATAAGTGTGGGACGTCTAGGTAGATAAGCTCATATGACTGGGTCCTGCAAAAATATAGGCCAATGTTTTGATAGACCTTTTTTTTTTTTTACATGATCCAGATAATACTGGGTGATGAAAGCAGACCTGAATGTATCATTTTGGGATTGTAGTCTAGGTTTGTCCATTAATAGATTATTCCTTTCCATTTGTAAAGCTATGCGGATCTCTTTTTCTAAGGCATTCTTCCCAAATCCCTTCTCCAGGACTTTCTTCTTAATATGTTGGTAGAGGGTTTTGAAATCTTGCAAATGTGAACAATTGTGTCTAAGATGTGTAAATTGCCCTTTGGCTATACCCTTCAGCCAGGGACAATGGTGGCAGCTTGCATGGTGGACGTATACATTGCCATCAGTTGGCTTGAAGTAACATCTAGTTTTGATCTGTCCATTCTCACATAATAGAGTCAGATCAAGAAGGTTAATTTCATGTTTATTCCAAACAGGAGTACATTTTAGATTGTATTGATTATGATTAAGAAAATTAACAAAATCTTCAAAAATAAAAGAAGGCCCTTTGCAAATAATAATAAAATCATCGATGTATCTCCACCAGAACAGCAGGTTTTCCCTCCAGGCATGGCAAGGCCACATGAATAGGTTCTCCCATCTCCTCATGTAGATGTTGGCATAACTGGGGGCAAACCTGATGCCCATGGTTGTACCCGTGGCTAGTAAATAAAAATTGCCATTAAAGAAAAAGTAATTGTGCTCCAAAATAAATTTTACTGAAATAAGGATAAATTGTTGTAGGTTACATGGTAGACTAGGGTCTTTTGTCATGAAATGATCAATGGCTTCTAAACCCAAGTCATGGCTGCTAACGGTGTAAAGTGAGGTCACATCAAGTGTGGCTCAACTGTAGTTGGAGTCCCACTCAATGTTTTCAATTTCCTGTAGGAAAGTCTTAGTATCTCTTATATAGGAAGGAGCTCCTTAAGCATATTTTTGTAAGTAGGAGTCAGCAAAAACTGATACATTTGCAGTTATTGAATCGATCCCACTAATGATCGGGCGGCCTAGGGGGTTAAGGAGACGTTTGTGGGTTTTTTGGCAGAATTTAAAAAATGTGAATTATTGGATTTTTTTGTAATAAGAAGTTGTAATTCTGCTGTGAAATGATATTCTGACTTTGAGCCTTCTCTATTATTAATTTTAGTTGTAAATTAAATTGGATTGTAGGGTAATTTTTAAGTGTAAAATAAGTTTTTTGTCAACCAAAATTTTTAAAGATTCTTGCAAATAATAATCTGTCATCATTAAAACGATCCCACCCCCTTTGTCCGCCTTCTTGATGGTTATATCCCCCCTTAGAACATGAATGCCTGAAACCATTGCTGGGCTGTGACCCAAAACGGGAATTAATTGTATATATTTAACCTCTTAGTGACAGCGGATGTATCAGGTACGTCAGGCAGAAAACAGTCTTTAAGGACAGAGGATGTACCTGATATGTCCACGAGTAATTAGAGCGCTGAAAGCGCTCATGATCGCTTCCAGCAGCTCTAATGGTATTGCAGCGATCCCTCGATGTTGAAGCATCGCTTCAATACCCCCCTCACTGCCGGGTTGCCGGAGAACACCGGGTGATCACTCCCCCCGGAGCGATTGCTTCTGGGTTGCTCCACGTGGACCCCGGCAGTGAGGCAGAGCATCGGAAGCCATCAGCCAGGCTTCCAATGCTCTACCTGTACTTAGTGCCTTGAGGGGTCGAGGCACTCAGTAAATCTAAAAAAAAATTTTTTTAAATAAATATTTTTTTTTTAAATTTAACCCCTACCCTCCCTCCCTCTCCCTCCCCATGTACTTAGCAACCACCGCCGTTCCCCCGCCGGCGATCGGTCTTCTTCTTGGGGGTGGTGATCGGTCTTCTTCTTAGGGGGGCGATCGGTCTTCTTCTTAGGGGGGGGATTGGTCTTCTTCTTAGGGGGACGATCGGTCTTCTTCTTAGGGGGGACTGTCAGCCCAGACAGTCCCGCTGAACTGACAGGCAGTCCCCCTGCTGGTGAAAAAAATTTAAATAAATAAACAAATAAATAATAAACGGTAATACATTTAATATATATATATATATATATATATATATATATATATCAAAATACACTTATAATGAAATCATATATATGCATTATATATCTATAATATATTGTAAAATGCTTTAACTATAATATATTATACATATGTAGGAAATTAGTGTATATATATATATACACACGTATTATATACAGATATATTATATGTATATGTGTGTGTATATATATATATATACATATCTATATATATATATATATATACATATATACACATGTATTATATGTGTGTGTGTGTGTGTGTGTGCATATATATATATATATATATATATTTGTCCAATATTATCAGCTAAATTGACTTACCCCAGGTGAAAAAAATCAGGGTTAAAAAAAATTTCACCTGGGGTAAGTCAATTTAGCTGATAATATTGTGTATATATGTAATGAAAGTGTCTATTATGTTTGTATTTGATCCTGATGAAAGTCCTTTATGCAGGACTGAAACGTTGACTGTCTTTTACATTTTTGTATCAATAAATTTTGGACTTTTATTCCGTGAGTGCTGCTGCATATTTTGGACAAATGGATAATACTAGCCATGGCATGCCAGCACCCGACTTCTAAAGGGACTTTTAAGCGTGAGTGCAGGAGGATTCTGTGTTTATATATATATATATATATATATACATACATACACATGTATTATATGTGTGTGTGTGCATAAATATGTATATAGATATATATATATATGTATATATATATATATATATATATATATATATATTCACACACACATATTATATATAAATTGGAAAACAAAAACAAATAAAATGCTAACTTTGGCCAGCGTGTGTGACTAAGTGGCTACTACAAAAGACTGGAAATACCCTATTTGGAATACCCTGGGTTATCTACATTTGAAAATGGTATGCCATGATGGTTTTTTTTCACATTCCTGGGCTACCATATGGTCTCAAAACGCAACCCAGACCTGGCAAACTGAATTGGGCAATCCCTATATTGACCCTGTAACTTTCCAAAACACTATAAAACCTGTACATGGGGGGTATTGTTATACTAGGGAGACTTCACTCAACACACAGTAAAATCACAACAATGAAATCACCAGTAAAAGTTTTTGCGTAAAAAAAAAAATGCAAAAAACAAATAGGAAGGCTAACTTTGGCAAGCGTTTGTGGCTAAGTGGCTACTACAAAAGACTGAACATACCCCATTTTGAATACCTTGGGTTGTCTACGTTTACAAATGGTATGTCATGATGGGGTTAATTTTCATTCCTGGGCTGCTATACGGTCTGAAGGGCAGCAGGGGCCGGCAAACCAATCTGGCAAATTTCAATATGCACACATGGAAAAGGGGAAAACCCTACATTTGACTCCTGTAAGTTTGCAAAAAAACATAAAACCTCTACATTGGGGGCACTGTTGTACTCGGGAGATGTTGCTGAACACATATTGGGGTGTTCTTTGTCAGTAACATACAACAGGAACTGAGAATCCATGCTTAACCCCTTAAGGACGGAGCCAAATGTACACAGTGTGAACGAAACAAAATGTAAACAAAACCTGGCATTTGCGCTACATGTCTGTCCAACCGTAATACACCTCTTTCATAGTAAATGCACCCACCCTTATTATATATCATTTTATTCAGGGGAAACAGGGCTTTCATTTAATATCAAATATTTAGCTATGAAACATAATTTAATATGAAAAAAATGGGAGAAAATAAGATTTTTTTTGATTTTTTTAGTTCTACATGACATTTTAACGGTCAATGTCATAATACTGTTTGCTTTTACTGCAATAAAATACACATATTTGTATTCATCAAAGTCTCACGTGTAAAACAGTACCCCCTATGTACAGGTTTTATGGCGTTTTGGGAAGTTACAGGGTCAAATATAGCACGTTACATTTGAAATTGAAATTCGCCAGATTGGTTACGTTGCCTTTGAGACTGTATAGTAGCCCAGGAATGAAATTTACACCCATAATGGCATACCATTTGCAATAGTAGACAACCCAAGGTATTGCAAATGGGGTATGTCCAGTCTTTTTTAGTAGCCATTTGGTCACAAACACTGGCCAAAGTTAGCGTTAGTATCTGTTTGTGTGAAAAATGCAAAAAAACGCCAATTTTGGCCAGTGTTTGTGACTAAGTGGCTACTAAAAAAGACTGGACATACCCTGTTTGCAATACCTTGGGTTGTCTACTATTGCAAATGGTATGCCATCATAGGGGTAATTTTCATTCTTGGGCTACCATAGGGTCTCAAAGGCAACGTAACCAATCTGGCGAATTTTAATGTGAAAAAAATGAAACACAAGCCTTATATTTGACGCTGTAACTTTTGAAAACACCATAAAACCTGTACATGAGGGGTACTGTTGTACTCGGGAGACTTCGCTGAACACAAATATTTGTGTTTCAAAACAGTAAAAAGTATTGCAGCAATAATATCATCCGTGTAAGTGCTGTTTGTGCGTGAAAAATGCAAAAAACTTCACTTTTACTGGCGATATCATTGTTGTAATACATTTTACTGTTTTGAAACACTAATATTTGTGTTCAGCGAAGTCTCCCGAGTAAAACAGTACCCCCAATTTACAGGTTTTATGGTGTCTTGGAAAGTTATAGGGTTAAATATAGTGCTAGCAAATTAAATTCCCTATACTTTCGGCATGGGTTGTCAGGCAGGTCCCGCTAATTGTAATTAATTAGGATACCTAATTATGTAAAAATATTACATAAATATATGTGTAGAATTAATATATGTATATATATACATATGTGTATATATACATATATATATATATATAATTTTTTTTAAATATTTTTATTTATATATAGGTGTATATATTTAGTGATATATATGTATATATTTATGTATATAGATATATATATTATTTCGTTCTACGTGTATTTTGATATAAATATATATATATTAATATCACAATACAGTTAGAACGAAATAACAAACATCTATATATTTTTTTATTATTTATTTTTAATTATTTT